CACGCTTTGGGGGCCAGCTGGTGCCCCAGCAGTGAGGAGGGTGCTGGGGAGGAGTTGTCCCCGGGGCAGCAGCAGCTGCTGCCAGCTCTGGGGTGTTTGTCCCAGCTTGCTGGTCAGGAGCTCCAGAGCAGTGCTGCTGGTGAGCAGCCTGCTCTCCAAGGCAGCTCAGCACCTTTTGGCTGCCCTGAGCCTCCCCGTGCATCCTGCCTGCACCCAGTGGGTGCTGCCTGTGCCTGCTGGGTCTCCAGGAGCACTCACCATCCACCTCTCCATGTCTCCAACAGAAGCATGCCCGAGGCCAGGTCCTCTTTGATATGGTGTGTGAGCACCTCAACCTCCTGGAGAAGGACTACTTTGGCCTCACGTTCTGTGACTCGGACAGCCAGAAGGTGAGCATGGGGGGGAGCCCCTGCAGCCACCCTTTCCGTGGGAGGGCCCCCCTGACCAGCTCTCTCCTCGTTGCAGAACTGGCTGGACCCCTCCAAGGAGATCAAGAAGCAGATCCGCAGTAAGTGCCCAGGGAGGGTCCGTCCTCCCCAGCCTGGGGGTGTCCCGTGGTGCCCCCAGAGGGCTCCACTGTGGCTGCCCTCTGGTGAGTCCTCCCCACCTGCTCTGGGGAGCTCTTTGGGAGCTGGCCTGAGCACAGCGATGCTGTTGCTTGTTTGGCTGCCTCTTGCCCACCTCTCCTCTTACTCATGACAGGCACGGGGGCAAAGGACCCCGTCTGTGCCACCAGAGAGCTGAGCCCTGACCCCTCTCTGGGCTCCATCCTCTCCTGCCCTGCGCAGTGTGTGTGAGCAGTGAGAGTGTGAGGCCTTGCTGGGACAGGTCTTGGCATGCCTCTGCCTGTGATGTTGCCTTGCTGGAGCACCAGAGGGGCTGTTGCCCAAGGTGTCACCTTCTGGGACATGTGAGGCTTTTGCTGTGACATTGGTAATCACGCCAAGCTGATGGCTCCTGAATTTGTGATGCTTATCTCTCCCCAGCTGTTTGGAGAGATTAGCCAAGTCATGCTGGTGTCCCAGTGGCTCTTCACAGCTTCTGGAGTCCCCATGCCCTGGTTCTGGTGCCAGGCTTGGGGACAGTAGTGGGACCTTCAGTCCCACTGCGTGCAGCTGGTGTGGGTGCTGCCCTTACTCCTCTCTCCTCTCTCTAGGTGGGCCCTGGAACTTTGCCTTCACTGTGAAGTTTTACCCTCCAGACCCTGCCCAGCTCACAGAGGACATCACAAGGTGAGGGCCACCCCTCCGTGGGCACAGCTGCCGGGGCAGCTCCCAGTGGCCTGTCTGGGGGGGTGTGGAGGG